GCTCCTAAAGTTTTCTGATTTCCCATCACCATGGCAACCTTTAATGCTCTGTGCTGTGCTATTCAAGAATTTATTTATTTTTTGATATCAGGATAAGTCAGCTTTGTGAAAGGTTAGGTAGAAGCGTGCAGTAGAAAAAAGGGACTGGAAAAGAAATGTATTCTTTTAGATGCAAAGTTACTTCATTGTGATAAATAACTATTTTTGTTTGCATTGAGAAAGTTACTTTTAAACACAATTTTAAAAATATCTCAACATACAGATTGAAAGTGAAGTGAAATTTAATTGAGATGATCCTTAATCTAGGAAACATGCAAAGTGCAGCAAACAAAAATTCTCTATTTTACTTTAGGATCTGTAGTTCCTGTAACCAGGTCCCTGAACGAAGGAGTAGGTGGGAAGCCTGAAGAACACGTTGCAGAAGAAAATGGGGATGTTGAAGTCCGTCGCAGTTGCAGAATTAGACAAAGCCGCCATAGTACTATGAACCAGTCGGTTCTGTTTGACAGACTAATTACAAAGTAAGGTTGTTTATCTTTTTATTTCCTCTATCATTGATTCCATCTATAAAAAATAAGAAGCTCCAGTTGATTAATGGTTCTTCCTTTTTTGTATATTGGAAGTGGCAAGCATTTTGGAAGACCACAAACTGAATTAAGGTCATATCACGCGTAGGGGCAGAACTATGCTTCCAGGGGCAATTCTTTGCTTTTTAAACAGACACTTTAAAGAACTAAATACAGGTAGTGCTTGACATACAACAGTTCATTTAATGACTGTTCGAAGTTACAACATCACTGAAAAAGTGTCTTGCAGCATCCCCATGGTCACATGATCAAAATTCGGCCGCTTGGGAGCTGCTTCATATTTATGACTGTTACAGAGTCCTGGGTTTGTGTGATCCACAAGCAAAGGCAATGGGGAAGCCAGATTCATTTAACATCTGTGTGACTAACTTAACAGCTGCAATGATTAACAATTGTGGCAAAAAAGGTCGTAAAATGGGGCAAAATTCACTTAACAACTGTCACTTAGAAACAAATTTTGGGCTCAGTTATGGTCATAAGTTGAGGACTACCTGTAATGGTGCCTATGGGTATCGGTTTTTCATAAGATACTTTGTTTGATGTAGTACAGACATGTCAAACACAAGACCCGGGGGCCGGATGCAGCCCGCGAAGTGGTTTCATGTGGCCTGCAAAGCCATCCTGGAAACAGTGAGGGAACGGCCCCCGCTGCCTTTGCCTTGGCCCTGGCCCAGGCCAGCTGGGAGCCAATGTACAATTTTGTGGTGGCCATCTTGGCACTTGCCCCGGTGGACCATACCTTGGCACTTGCCCCGGTCCCACCCCCTTCTGCCAGAGACCCTCAGATCTGTCCCATTCCTACCCAGGCCCCCATAGACACCCTTGACGTGAATGATGTAGAACTGGTCACGCCCACCCAGTAGGCCCCACCCACTCCATCCACACCCACCCAGTAGGCTGCACCCAGTCTGGCCACGCCCAACCCCCCCCCCCCCCGGGCAACCGCAGTGCTGATGCGGCCCTCAGTGAAATTGAGTTTGGCACCCCTGATGTAGATCCGTACACCATCTAAGTTAAATAAGCTTCTAATAAAATAAAACCAATATGATGCTGGAATGCTGCATAGCAAACACCAATACCTGTTTTGCTAATTTGAGCATGGAATATTCTGGATAACTCTGGAATATTCTCCCATTATCTACTGATTATGCTTTTCAGGGAGTAGTTTGGCACTTTTTTGAACTGAGTTCAGAGTGGCTTTAGAATGTCCCTGTATTTTGCAGATCCACATTATTTGTTTTCTGGTAAATGAGTGTTTATGACTAACCATACCCGCCGTAATAATCATTCTGAGAGTACTACCACATACTCTCAAAATTCCAAATATACCCCTTTTGGAAAATATTACAAACACCTATGCTACAATTCTAGCTTTTCTTTTTTCACTCCAAAATGGTAGGAAAATTTGTATTTGTTTTGTTTTGTTATGATATAATAGAAGGAGCTCCAAGAGTAAGGAGAAGGGGCAGACCTTCTGTAATGGGCAACATACAAATGAACAAAGAAACATGATTTCTTTGGGGCATTATTGCTTGTCTGTTGATATACGCAGGATTGGATCTGCATTTATTAATAGTTCTAGCTTACTATGAACGGAAGATACGGTATTGTGGCATTCTTTTGTTTAATGGATTCTTCGTTAATATTATTTTGCTTAATTATTTGTTGCATACTTTTGTCAGTACTGCAGAAGCTGTACTACAAAAAATGGACGATATGAAGAAGATGCGCCGTAGACGAATGATGGAAGATCTTGGGGTGTTCAATGGTAGAAAAGGAGTAAGTATACATTCATTGTGGAGGCACCAATATTTTTTACTGCTTTTGCTTTGATAGTTTGAACATAACCTGAACAAATTCTAAGTAATTCTAAGGTACGCTTTATAACAACAGGAGATTTTTTCCCCCCAAATCATTAAACCAGAAGTGCTATTTGTAAGGCCATGGAATTGGCTGTGGGCTGTCTCGGCATCCTCAGACTAGATCAGGACAAAGGACAAACATGTGTGGGCAACCAGTAGTGATTTCAAAAGCAGTTGTGTGAGACAAATATAGCTGAGAAAGGTGTGCTATACATTATCTATACATTATACATTATGAAGCATCTTTTTCAGTAGATGTGCACAGTCCAATATTCTGATTCCATTTACTGTATCTATTGAAATGGCTATAGAAGCATCATGTAATGGCGGATTACTTGAGTGAGCTTTTGTGCTATTTCCAGGGAAACCTTGATATGTACTCCAGAGGGAAACCACCTATCCAAAGGACTGATGAAGAAACCTCTGACAATCAGGATGGAAGTGCAGGTTATTGTGCCGCTTTTACTATGCTGTTATATATGAAAATTTGAAGTGTGGGTAAAGAGGGAAGGATATATTTATGGGTAACTGAATGAAAGATGTTTTGGTTCAAACTTCTGATAAATGTTTGGTTAGCTTCTGTAGAAATATCTAAATAGACTAGGTCTTGGTCCAGCCATTAACAGCTGTTCTTACGAATTGATTATCTAGAGCAAGGGTAGGCAACCTTGGCTCTTTTATGACTCGTGGACTTCAACTCCCAGAATTCCTGAGCCAAATTCCTGAGTTGAAGTCCACGAGTCATAAAAGAGCCAAGGTTGCCTACCCCTGATCTAGAGTTTTTAGGTTAATCCCTGGTGATGATCCTCTCACAGGATTTGCTAAAACTCTTCTTAACTATATTTCATTTTTGCATATATTTCATTTTGGCATATGTGTTGAAACACCTGTTTTCAAGTCAGTCTTGACTATTGGCAACTGCCTGGACCAGGTCCTTGCAGTTGTTGGGGTGGGTTTTTTCAGTGGTAGGGGCAATATTTTCAAAGGCGTTTGCTATTACCTTCTTCCAAAGTTTGAGATTATCTGTTTCCTTCAGATCTTTATTAAAGCTTTGAGATAGCTTCAAATTGGGTTTGGTTTGGGCATCGAAAGCTGAATTTTGTAATGAATAAAATAAAACTGATAATGTATATGTTCCTAGCCGAAATAGGTAATAAAATTACATAGACCAATTATAAAATTCGTTATAGGTTCAGAACCTTTATTAAAGTTAGAACAATTTATTTTAAGTAGAATCTTCAGAAGAAGTTGAGGACCATGAAGATGAAGATGGAGAAGAAAACCAAAAGCGCTATGATCTCCGGCAGCGAAAAACTGTTGTTCGTTATCAAGCCTCACCAGAAAGTAGGTTTCTTTTATACCATTCATGGAAGTTTCATTTATTTATTACAAATTTCCAAGATCAAAATATCTATTCCTCATAAACATTCTAAGTTGAAGGCAAAAAGGGGCATTTTATTCCATGTTATTCTAAGGTCCATGATTTGTTTTTTGTTTTAATGTTTTTTCTTATGGAAATTTGGAAATATCATTAGTCATTAAATCAGCAGTGACAGATTCTGTTTCTTCTCTGCTTGGAATTAAAGTGGATTGGGGGGGAGGAGTTGATTAAGCACATACTCGACTGAATATACTGCTTTGGTCTCAAGAAAAAAGGGCTTCTATTTCACTAGTAAATTCTGCAGGTTTTTTTTTTTTTCGTGGAAGTTAGAACTTGTGATTTGTAATGTTACTTTGTTCCTGTGTGGTATGTTTTTTCCCCATGAACAATTTCCAAGTGCAAAAGTATAATATACCTGTGGATTTCATACAGATTTACTGGGCTTTGTTTTTGCAGGCCTGATCAAATCCAGAACCGTATATTGTGCAACCATGTTAATTAGGAAGATGCTTCAAGCTTTTAACTAGAAGATTTTGATTTTGCTTTTATAACGTTGATCATGGCTGCAAAAATTAACTCATTTGGCTCTTTGTTTGGCTCAGTTCTGTAATTGTACCCTCTAGCCATATTGCTAGAATCCATTTAATTGTTACTTGTACTGCTTGGTTGGAAGTTTTAAAAAACATTCTGAATTTATTTTAAAAAAATTCAGTTCATCTGTCCTCTTGTGGTTGTGAATATATTACTTGGAAAAGTTTCTCAGTGCTATAAATCTGTTTTTGTTTTGCTTTGGGTGGGACTGTCATCTTAACATTTCATGCAGCTGTACATCTTTATTGTGTAACTTTTCAGCCAATGCTGCCTAGATTTAATTTCTGAATGTCTTTCAGGAATGAAGTTAACAAATGAACTTTGTACAAGTTAAAATTAAGCATGTTTGGCTTTTCGTAAACAAATGATTTGCTACATGATTTGCTGTCTTTCCCACATTTTTCTAGCTTATCAAAAAGTAGGTTGTGGTCTACTTTGATTGTCTATTGTAGAAGCAAGAATATTAACCTCTTTTTTAAAAAAAAATGTTTGATATTGTTAACAGAGCCCAGGCATCCGAAGAAGCCTAAATTTTATGATGATGCAGCCTCTCCAGTAAGACAAGGTTTCCCCTTTAGTCCTGCAAGACCACGGAGCCCTTTCCGTAAAAAAATAAATAGGTATGTTTTTGTGTGTGCAAAATATATACTAGCAGCAATGCTTCATATGTTGCTTGTATCCCCTAATTAATTTAGCAAAAGTTTAATTATAGTTTATTATAGAATAAACTTTACTGTCTGAGCTTGCGATCATGGGAACACTGCAGTGGTTTTAAGTCACTTTTGTCAGTGCCATTGTAACTTCAAATGGTTGCTAAAAAATGGTTAAAAATTGAGGACTACCTATATTTGTAAACGCAAACACCAATCAGCATATATTAGGAAGAAATATACTGGCTTCGTGTGAATCTTGAAGATGGTATCTTCTAGATTTTTCAAGATTTTTGAGGACTTGTCTTCTTATTCAGCTCCATTATAATGGTATGGTTGCTAAGTGACAGTGTATGTCCTCATAATATTGTTTTCAAGAGAGATTTGATAACTTGGTTTTACATATTATGCAGTGTCAAATATCAGTTTGTTAGTATAAATTAAAATTATGCTTTGCTTGTCAGTCTATGTCAGAGTGACTAACCATGACTATGTATTCAGCCAATTTAGATTCATGGAGGAAATCCAACATGGATTTAACTATACCCCCTCCTTATTCTTCCACCCTTTTTCTACTCAGCTCAACCACTCATATCCACTCATATTCGGCATATATTTACTAATATATCACTACTTGCACAACATGCATTTTCATACTTATTTTTTTAAAAAAATAGGCGAAAGCATGCAATTCATAATAGTGATTCCACAACTTCATCATCATCTGATGATGAAGAACGCTTTGAGAGACGTAGGAAGAGAAGTCGCAGCAAAGCACTGAGCAGGTATTTATTCGAAGTGGGTAGTGTATTTTTTTCCCAGAGATTACATTGAGGGGATTCTGTCTAAAATATTGTCAGTGAAAAAATGGTGAATTCTAGCTTTCCATAATTAAATGCTACCAGGATTTGTCACATTGGAATTGTATAGTCATTGCTATGTAAAACAAGATTTCAAATTTAACATTAAGCTACATCTATTTGCTTTTCATGGTTTTAAACTTTGGCTAAATTAAATTGTACTTTCTACTTCAGCACTTTCAATAACTATTAATTCCCATACTAGGTGCCTTCCACTAAATTTTCAAAAAGATGAGTTGAAGGGAATCCACAGAGATCGAATGAAAATTGGAGCAAGCCTGGCCGATGTTGATCCAATGCAAATAGACACTTCAGTAAGGATTTGATGTCTTACTTTCTGACATTAAAAATAGCTATTCTTGTGTTGGTTAATTGTATGATATCAAGTTATTGTTGACTCCTAGACACCATATAGATTGAGATATTCTTTAACATATTGGCAATAACTTAAATGACACGTGTAAGGACCGCATAGCTAACCTTCAGCTTTTACTTTGGCTATGATTTTTATGATTTTCATTTGTCAACTGTCTCCCTTTTTAGGTACGATTTGATAACGTGGGTGGACTTTCTGATCATATTTCAGCTTTAAAGGAGATGGTAGTTTTCCCACTACTTTATCCCGAAGTGTTTGAGAGATTCAAGATTCAGCCTCCAAGGTAGTACTTTAAACTATTTCCTTTTATTGGATGTTAAAGTCTTTTTAAAATTTGGACTTTCTTGGGATAGATAGTTTCTTAAGATTTTTAGGCAAGATAATTTCTTAATAATCACTTGAATGCACTGTTTAGATCAATTTGTGTAGCATGTTAAAACTGACAAGGTTTACTATAGTCATAGTAGTTTACAAAAATATACATGTGTTCTAAGTTTTTATTATATTAATTTATACTATATTATATTAAGAAGTACCCAAACCTTAAAAGGAACCTGAAAGTATTCTTGAATTATTTTTGTGTAAAGTTTTGTAATTTCAAATTACTGTATTATTATAGCCAGACTTCCACAAGAGATAATGCAGAATATAAACAAGTCCTAATTAAGAAAGACCAAATTAAGAATTGGGAAATAAGAAATTACACTATTTACAGAGGTTAAAAATTGAAGTAATTATCGGAGCTAAGAGAATGTAAATATAGCAACCAACACAAAAGCACAAAATATAGGAGAAAATAACCATTAAAAAAAATCTGGACAAAAGAGTAGTCCTAAATGCTATGTATGGGTTTTGCATTTGTTTACAGCCTTTGTCAGAAAACTATTCAGAATAGCTTTAGTTGAATCAGGTTCACCTAAAACATCCGCCTAGAAGTTTTGCAAGCTCCCTTTTATTCTTTTTTATTATTAGCTTCATTGTTGGAGACAATCTCTGATTGCTTAAATAAATAGGTTGTTGGTTTCTATTATATTTGCACATTTATTTATCCTCTAGTGGGAAATCCATTCATATTGCATCCTTCTGAAGAGCCATAGAGATTCATTAAATAGTGCAGCCAATTGATAATTTTGGTTTCAGTTTATTCTGTCATGTCTGCATCTGCTCTTAGAACTCCTGAAATCAGATAAAGATGCATATCAAAAACTTGTAGGTTATTTCAACAGGAGGTTAACACTGTAAAGTATACAGATCACTGAAAATTTAAAATCTGGATTGTTGTTCCTACTCTTCAGGGCCATGCTTATTGTAATTGTGAAGCTGATTTACGAATTTAATTTTTTTGAATAACTTCCTGTTTGTTAGTACTAAGAGAAAGGATAGCAAAGACAAACGTTTAAAAAAATTGAAATGAAATATGTAAGATAAAGATGATTAAAATTGCCGTCTTTATTCTTGGTAGCATGTACAGTCCTGTTGTTCTACATTTCTCAGCTTTCATGATCCTTTCTGTAATTTTAACGAAGAGTATGTTACTTTAATGTCCAAAGGCACGGTTGCCACCTCTGATTTCTTACCTCATACGAGAGGAAATTCACAGAAAATTATTCAACAGAGCATTTGAGTCCATAATCATGGACAAAAACTTGCCCGTGGCATCTGGCTTGTTAATTTAGAACCCAGAAGTTTGGGGATCTGTTACAGGAAATTTATAGATCCTTAAGCACAATATTCAGATGCCCTATGGAATTTCAAGTGGAGAAATTCTCCCAATTACATATATGTAAAATCTAGCATTCTGGGAAATTTCTGAATGGAGACATACTCAGCTCCATTGCTGAATTGGTTATTTTTATTCTTTCTATGCCAAGATTTCTAAGCTATCTTGTATTGATTTGTTCTTTTATATATTGCCTATCTTTGTTATTTTTTCATATGTGATTTTATCTGTTCGTTATGCGCTACCCAGAGTCAACTTTGTGAGATGGGTGCTATATAAATATGATTAAAAAAACGTGACTGACTGTTCCACAATTGGTTTGTGATTTTCCAAGAGTTAAACTTTAAAACAAGAAGTGAGATTTCCTTCAGTTAAGATGAGTACCTTCTGGAAAATAGCTGGAGCAATAGTGAAGACATTCTTGTGTTTGTGAGAAAATGCTCTGAGCCGGCTGCATTTTGTTACCATTGAGGACAGGATTATTAATTAGCATGCTCATACCTCCAAATTCATAGGCCACCAATATTGATCACTAAGAACATCAGTGTAGTTATCTCTGTATCTTTTATGTGCTGCTTGTAGGTTTTTCTTAAAAATCTGGTTGCCAAAGTCTTAAAGTGATTAGGTGGAGTATGCTAAAATGATTACTTTAACTGCAAGTTTGAATTCTTCCAGGGGCTGCCTTTTCTACGGTCCACCGGGTACTGGAAAAACTCTTGTTGCCAGGGCACTTGCTAATGAGTGCAGTCAAGGAGACAGAAGAATAGCTTTTTTCATGAGAAAAGGTGCTGATTGTCTCAGTAAATGGGTGGGTGAATCTGAGCGACAGCTTCGTCTGCTGTTTGACCAGGTAATTTTGCTTTCTTTGTATCTTGTGTTCTGCATAGCTACTGTATTTGAATCATAATTAATTTGAATTTCTCTTTTTAGGCCTTTCAGATGCGTCCTTCAATTATATTCTTTGATGAGATAGATGGCCTTGCTCCTGTACGGTCCAGCAGACAAGATCAGATTCACAGGTATGTTGTTTGTAATTAAAAACTGTAGCTCGTCAAAATTTCTTTGAACTTCAATATGATGGGTTAAGTTCAAAAGATTGTAAAAAGTAAGCTGAACCTTGGATCCATTCTATTTTGAGAAAATTAGGAGATAAATAGTTAAATAAGCAAAGAAAGATAGTATTTAGTTATTTGCCGACATAAATAACAGTACTGTTAGAAGTAAAGTCTTCATCCTGGTTCATCCAAGCCGGGAATAAATAAGCAACATGGCGACTGCTTTGGGAAGATGGATACAGTTTATTGAAGAAGCAGAAAGATGGTTCTTCAGGAAAGAGCAGAGGAGAGAAAGAGAGTTGAGCACATGGGCAGTAGCTTTTTATACCCTCTCTAGCTTTTTGTTTGGAATAGTTTCCTCTTCCTGTGGCATGAACTTTGAACTGAGTCTGAGTGCTTTTCTAGGCCTTAGTATCTGTGGTTCAGTCCTATTATGTCCCAAAAGTCATCTCCTGCTTCCCTGGGGCTGGTCTAATGACTCTTAAGAGTTTCTTTGTCTTCTTGAGCTTCCTGGCTCCAACCTTCCTGATGGTCTTACATCTGCGTTTGTATAGGGCTGACTACTGCTTGGGGCAAAGAGATGAGGCCAGGGTTGGTTTTTGGTTTTAAAAAAATGCTTTTAAAAATTCTTTTGGTGAAAAATATATTTTCCTGCCCTTTTAATATTTCCTTCTTTGGGCTAACTTCTCTCAGTACTTTTGATCAAGTGATATGCATATGTTTGATAAACTCTACATCATGCATGAAAGTATAAAATATCTGAAAACCTTGCAGATTTTCGCTGGGGTGGCTTTCATTTGCAGATTACTATATATTTTCTAGCTTTTCTCTGTTGTGTTATGAAAAAAATCTGATCTGAAATGTACCTCAGCTGTCTTTAAAAAAAAAAAAAAAAGAAATCCTGCAGTTTCATACAAGCTTTTGTGTATATCTCTACGAGTCCTTCAAAAAATGATTAAAATGCAGTTTTTTACACCAGTTTGTTAGTAGTATAGAAATGCAAAAATGAACTGGTTTGTTTCTGGAACATCTCTTCCAGAAGGGACTAACTCAGCTGTTGTGGAGGTTGTTTTGTCTGTTTTGGGGCTGGATTGTGTCCAGGAAAAAATACTTTTTGTTACAGATAACACACTTCCAGAAACATGTTTGTTTATTGCTTTTAAAGGTGTGTGTACTGGTTCCTATTAAGCAACTCTAGGCAATTCACAACAGCAATAAAACCCAACAGCTCCAAAACATGACCATCAATCAATCAAAAACCAAAGCCCCTAAGGATCTCCTTAGGATGCGCCACAACCAGCTTTAATTATGCTCATTCCATCCTGTCCTGTCCTATCCCAGCACATGGATGAAAAGCCAAGCCTTCTGAAGAGCTAAAAGACAGGGGCGCCCCGCAGAATCGCCAGGGAAAGGGTATTCATAAAGCAGGGGCAGCCGTGGAAAAGGCAGGCTTCTGAGGTCCCTCTAGGACCAGGTCAGGATTTCAGGGAAGAGATCTCAAGCATGCCTACCTTATCCAATCTGGAACAGGCAGATATTCTTAGGGAAAGGCAGTCCCACAAATAACCGGGTCCCATGTAGGGCTTTAAAGATGACAACCGGCATCTTGTTGGGGGCAATATGCTGACTCTAAGCCACTTAAGAGAGGGCTGTAAAGCACCGTGAAGCGGTATATAAGTCTTAAGTGCTATTGCTATCTTGAATTGTACCCGGAAGGAAGCAAACTGGGAGCCAGTGCAGCTTGCACAAAGAGCAACATGGGCAAACTTAGCAACACCAATGCTGTCCATGTTGCTGCATTATGGATCATTTGTAGCTTTAGAGTAGTGTTCAAGGGCAGCCCCCATGTAAAGCATATTGCATTAATTCAAGCAAGGAGTGCCTAATGCAGTGATGGCGAACCTTTTAGAGACCGAGTGCCCAAAGTGCAACCCAAAACCCACTTATGCATCGTCGAGTGCCGGGTGGGTGTGGCCCATTGGCTGGGTGTGGCCCATTGGGTGGGCGTGGCTCATTGGATGGGTATGGCTGCGGTGCTAATGGCAGACTGGGTGGGGCTAAAAGGTTCAATCAATCAATTCCAACTTTGCAAGATCTTTTTTTTTCCTGTGAGAAGTTGAAATTGACTGATTGAACCTTTTTTTTTTTTTGCACAAGGCGGCGGAGGACTAAGGTGAAAAGGTTTTATAAAACCCAGCTGAAGGCCTAGGAGTGGGGCGACGGCGCGCGTGCCCACAGAGAGGGCTCTGAGTGCCGCCTCTGGCACCCGTGCCATAGGTTCGCCACCACTGGCCTAATGCATGAGTGTGAGCAAGGACTCCTGGTTCAGGAAAGGGCAAAATCCAGAGCTGCTCTGTCTTGTCAGGGTTAAGCAAAAGTCAGTTTCTCCTCAACGAGACCCTCACAGCCTCCAGTGACATCAGCACTGCATCAAAGACCATTCCTGCGATGCTTGAAGATGAACCATGTAATTAATAATCATATTAACAATATTTATTTATTGGTACCCGTTTTATGTATATTTTATGCTTTTGCTTTATGTCCTGGTCTTTTTTCCCCCCAAAGACAGTACTTCTGATGTGCCATGTTAAGCAAAACATAGTCCTCAGTCTGAAAAGGATTGTGAAGACTTGCTCTAAAATCACTTTTTTTTTTCCAGACATTTAAAATAAGTCTTGTGGATTCTACCATGTAAAGGATAACATATTTTAAAATTGTGTTTTTAAGCTCAATTGTGTCTACGTTGCTTGCATTGATGGATGGCTTAGACAATAGAGGTGAGATTGTGGTGATCGGTGCTACAAACAGATTGGATTCCATAGATCCTGCTTTGAGAAGACCTGGACGTTTTGACAGAGAATTCCTATTTACATTACCAGATAAAGAGGTAAGAAATTCCACTACTTGTGAATAATTAGCTTCGGCTTACCACAATGGAGCACTGTATAGAGCAATAAACATTAGGCATACAGAGCAGTTGTGTCTAAATCAGTCTTTCAATTAGGGACTGGAATGTACAGCATTCATTTGAATTGAACTGGATGTCTATAATTATTACGGCAAAAGGAGCAAGTTGGGGTTGTGCAGAGTGAGATATTACTGTGTCTTTAATAAATATATTTCCTGTGTTCTCTTTTATTTTCCATTTGGTCAATCATAAATCAAGAAAGAAAGGTTATGCTCAGATTGAAACCGCTCAGAAATTGCTATAAAGCACTGTGGAGTGGTATATAAGTGGTATTGCTCTGCATTCTCTTCTGCCTTCTTTCGTGTGCTGCCAGTTGACTAGATCCACTGCACATTTTTCTTAAATTGGTTGCACAAAGGGATCTTTCCCCGCCTCCTAAAAGAAGAGTTAACCCTATCCTGTATTAACTCCATCAATCTACTCACCAAACAAATAATGTATCAGATTGAAATACATTCCATTGTAACCAGTGGAATGGTGTTCTGAAATGCTTCATCCTAAGGTGGTAACATACTTAACTTGGTGCTGCCTTTGCATTTCCCAACAACTCTTCAGTTAGAAATAAGACCATTAAAATCTAACTTATTAAGAAAATAATTAGACTGAAATAGAAAACTATAGGTATAGGACATCACAGGAAACAATCTTATTGTTAAGACTGTAATTCCATTCAACTCTGTATCATCTTTACTACTGTGGGTCACTAAATACCTTTGGGAAGACCAAAGGAATTCTGTCTTCTTTTGCTTCTGAACAACAGATACTCATTTTTTTGCAGTTGAAAATTATATATAGCTATATAATTACACTTAAAACAGAGTCTTATCAATATTATATTTATTATGCTAAATAAAATAATAATTGAAGTAATCATTTTTGTTTTGTTTCCCTTATTTTAAATTATAGCCCAATGATCTTTTTATATTCCAAATTATATCATATCATATATAGATTTGCATAATGGGCTTGTAATGCAGGCAATCCCATTTTTCAATCTACTTTAATATTCTAATATTGGAGCCATGTTTCTCATAGCTGTTGCAGCTGCTACTGTTTGGTTATTTCTTTAGTTTGAGACTTTTTTTCCTGAAAAACATGTCGGCCCATTTGAGTTTTTATCTTGTACTAGCTGTACCCGGCCACGCGTTGCTGTGGCTCAGACAGGTTACATGTTTCTACCTGTCACAGGTGTGACATCTATATAATAGTAGGTATATAAAAACACGCGCGTATTCGAATGCAACGTTGTGTCAAAATTTCAAAGCAATCGGTGAAGAACTTTCGGAGATTTAAGATTTTGAACAAACGAACATTTACATTTTTATTTATTTGTATTAAGATAAAAATCACATAAACCTTACTGTCTGTTACCTCTTTCCAAAGTAATTTTGTTATATAAATTAGAATTACATTGAGGAATTATAGTAATGAACAGTACAGTAGTTTTCCTCTATTTAAAAAGCTGGTGTTAATGTAAGCATAGAGCATTCATGATCGGGAACTGGAATATTTGGTATCTTAAGATTAAAGCTTTTTTCTTTTTTTTTCTTTTTTAAAAAACCATTTATGTTTCTAGGCAAGGAAGGAGATTCTTAAGATCCATACACGAGAATGGACCCCTAAGCCATCAGAAATATTTCTACAGGAGGTTGCTGAAAAATGTGTTGGTAAGAACAGGAATTCAAAATATTTTGCACAATCCATTTCCAAAGATAGTTGCTTGGAAATACAGCTTTACATATTCTGCTTTGACCTGATTTTTGTAATTATTTAGAATATAGGCAGGTATTTCATTATATACTTGCACAAATTAATGACTAGCTTCATTTCTGAGCTTCTATTTTTATGCAGTGATTAAGGTGCTGGATTAGAAATTGGAGACCATAAATTCTGGTCCTCCCTTAGGTATGAAAGCCAGCTGGGTAAGGTTGGGCGAGGTTTTTTTTTAGCTTGACCCACCTCACAGGAAGGATGGTGGTTGACCCACCTCACAGGAAGGATGGTGGTTGTGAGGAAACTAAGAGGGGAAAGGAGTATGTATGCTGGGTTGAGTTGTACAGAATAAAGATGGGCTATAAATATAACAGCAATAATAACTGTTGATTCTCCTTAAATCCAATAATAAAAGACTACTGCTGCATAAGCAATTGGTCCCATTCTTGATCTGCTTTTGCTGTAAAGAATTTTCCTAGTATTAGCTGGAAACTGGCAATGTGCATCGAAAGCTCAGAATAATGTCATGATTTGTAGAAGTGTATCTTCTTTTTTTAAAAAAAAATTAAGACAGAAAAAAATTAGACAAGGGATACAGGTAGTCCTTGATTTATGATCATTTGCCCAGTGATTGTTCAAAGTTACAATTGGGCCCCCAATCACATGATTAAAATTTGGAGCCCAGCTCGATGCTTTTGGGTACCTTACACTTTGCCACAAATACTGCCCCCCTCCACTACCCCAACTGGCCTTTGCCATCTTCTTCCTTCTGCTGGTGGCCTGGGATCCAGGTGCTGGGTGAAGCTGCAGCCCTGGGATGTATAGGGTGAGGGCAAGGGGAGCCAGTGGTGGTTCCAACCGGTGATGGTGGAGGCTGTGTACTTTTCCTAGTAAACTAAATACATTAAACCAGTGTTTCTCAACCTTGACAATTTTAAGGCATGTGGACTTCAACTCCCAGAATTCCACAGCCAGCAATGCTGGCTGTGGAATTCTGGGAGTTGAAGTCCACATGCCTTAAAATTGTCAAGGTTGAGAAACACTGCATTAAACAGAATACAAGGAAGAATTTCTAATGTATTGCAGTGGGGTTTTTTTTTTTTACAATTTAGTTGACTGCCAGAAAGCAGTGTGTGCCTGCTTTTATTCTTTAGTGCTTGACAGAAAAGATTGAGCGAGGGATAGTAAATTATATATAAATGATGGTTATGAGATGAAATGATTATATATAAATAGCAGAGCAATTTGACACATGTACTTAATCTTGGTAGAATGCTTACGCAAGAACGCTAAAGCCCACGAGACCATCTTTCTATCCAATTTGTTATAATGAAATGGAAGTTAGATACGTTAAGGGAACCATAAAAATGACTTGCTTGCTGAAGGCTTGGCAGATATAAAAAGTGTGTATAATTAAACAAGGGAATCATTGAGAAATGAGTACTAAATATGAACTGAATACAAATAGCAAGTGACATAAAGACATTTGAACTAGTTTCATCATTTAAGAGACTAAATTAGGATTGAATTGCAAGACATATATGAGGGAGGAAAGAAGATCAAAAAGATAATAATTGGAGGAGTTCATGAGTTTTTCAAATGCATTGTAGAAGCAAGGATGGCTTGCAGGAAAAATGAAGAGTATAGTCAATATAAATAGATATCATTTTTTTTTCTTATCAATATACCTTAAAGGGGGGGAGGTTACTTACTAATCTTCTGCAGTTTTTTTTAAAGTCAGTCTTGACTCCTCACAGCTGCCTGAACTAGTCCCTGCAGTTTTCTCAGCACAATTTTGAGAAGGGGTTTGCTGGCTTTGGGCCTAAAGCAGTACTCACAGTCTCTAGCCCAGTGGTGGTGAACCTTTTAGAGACCGAGTGCCCAAACTGCAACCCAAAACCCACTTATTTATCGCCGGGTGCCAGGTGGGCGTGGCCCACTGGGTGGGCATGGCCATGGTGGTCATGGCAGAATGGGTGGGTGTGGCCAAGGTGGGCGTGGTCACCTTGATGTTATTCGTGGGCAGGGACGCCTGTGGGGGCCGGACAGGGTTGGGGGAGATCCAGGGGGTCTCTGGTGGGTGGCACAGTGGGCAGGAGGCTCGTCCTGTGGGGTGAAGGGAGGCGAGGCAGGGCGGGAGTGCCATTGTCGCAGGGCAAGGCGATGCAGGGGCCAGGGCGGCGGCTGCCTGATACATCAGCCCCCGCACACAGAGGCCAGCGAGTGCATGGGGGACGACGATGTCCGTCAGCAGCCACAGCCTGCCGGCCCCTCGACCGGCACACTCTAGGGCAGTGGTTCTCAACCTTTTTAATGCGACCCCAACCGGTCGTAAGTCGAGGACTAAACCGGTCGTAAGTCGAGGACTAAACCGGTCGTAAGTCGAGGACTAAACCGGTCGTAAGTCGAGGACTAAACCGGTCGTAAGTCGAGGACTACCCAGCCGGTCGTAAGTCGAGGACTTTCCGTGCCCGGGAGCGCCGCGCATGCGTGGTTCCGCCCCCTGCGCCGGCCGAGGCGTAGCTGGCAAGCGGCAGAGACGGAGCAGGCCGACCACCAGCTGGCCCAGCCCAAGGGAGGTAAGGCACCCGCCGGAAAAGGGGGGAAAAATGGCGGACAAAAAAATGGCGGACAGCCTTGCTTGGCGACCCCCATGAAATGGTCGATCGACCC